GGCTGCGTTGGAAACTAATATTTATTTGTATTCCACACATTACCCACGGGGGCTAGGGGGCAATATAAGGGGGCAGGGTAGTTTTTTTTTCGTTGCTCGATGAATCTTCGCAACTTAAAAAGATGCAGAGGCATGAGACAAAATGTTGCTTAGCTAAGCAAAAGTATTGAATTATCTGATGGGCAACAACCTTGAGCAATCGTAAATATCGAAAAATAAATATAAAATGTGTTAAATATTTCAAAAATAAGAAGCTTCTCGCTTACGCATGAAATATTTATATAATATGCAGATATTTAAAGATTTTGAAGATGTGAAACGACATAATTAGTGTAAATAAAAAACTAGCTGAAGAACTTAAATAATCATTTTATTTTTATGCAATAGTTTTTAATTTCACTCCAAATTTTAATCCTTATTTAATATTACAATTTGTGTAGATTTACAAGTTGTTGAAAGAAAAAATTCTAATACAATTCGAATAATAATTTTATTTGAATGCATACTTAAAACTTTGACTCAAAATCTTATGTTTTTCTTAATATCAAAAATTGTTTGAACATTGTTGATAACTTTTTCAGTCTTACCAGTTTCTGGAAAGTTTTTGAGTTTTACATTGTAATTCTAAGTACCCATTAAAAATGATTCCTTCCTACTCTAAAATCAATTTAAAAAATAAATAAAATATATTTTCAAACTTATTTTTTTTATTGCATTTTATTAATTGCAAATACGCTTTTTAAAATAAATTTTTAAGACAGCCTTCCAACCACACAAGGTGATGAAGGAATGAATTGTACAAAATACACTTTTCAAACTAATTATTTATTTATTTTATTATTATTTAATTTTTATTCGAAACACGCTTGTTAAACTAAAGCCATGCAGCCATATCAGATTTGTCATTTTCTGTTTGGTATCTTTGAGGAGCGTTGCTCTTAATTGCTCACACAATTTAGTGTGATATTGTATTGGCTGTTATCTAACAGCCTCCAAGGGAGCCATTCCATTAGATAATGTATGTGCCTGCCTCCCACGTCGACAAACAAGTGCAATGCGTCAACGCACTTAGGCTACTTACAAATACAATACAAAGAGGGAGACAGCTCCAACAGTTTGTATTTGTACAGCAGTTGGCACTTATTGAGCAATTAAATAATCTAAATGCTCATTGGGATACACGTGCAGATGTTGGGCCTTTGAACTCGCCTGATATAAATTTAAAAATCTCTGCCTGGCAACTAGAAAATATTTGTCAACGCGTTGGTAACTGAATGCCCCAGGCTGAGTGCAATAGCCTTTGTCACAGTTGAAAAAAAAAGACCAACCCCAAGGCGACATCTAATTACAGCTAACATATAGGGGTTCTAGACTCTAGAGAAGAACAACACGTAACTATAGCTGCAACAACACACACACACACACCCAATTGATGCCGGAAAAATGCAGCGAGCAGAATAAACTTAGTATTTATAGAAACCAACGCGTAGCGAGCGAGATGCACATATTAAATGGAAAGAGACAGTGGCAGAAGAGAGACAAGAGAGCGAGCTTGTAAGAGAGCAGAGAAGATCAGTGAGATTATTTTTATGATATTTTTAAACGATAAAATCGCAGCAGGCGAAGTCAAGTGCACACACACTCCCCACACACACACTCATACACACATTGCATTGGCATCAAGTAACCGGGACGGGATGGGACGGGGACTGATTTGTGTTTTGGGCTGAGTCGACAGGCGCGTAGCAAATGAAGCCATTAGCTGGCATAGCCAGATTCCGAAATTGTGGCCTAAATATAGAGAAACAGTTCTGGTCTAACACTCGAAATGGAGCTGCTATATTTGGACTGGCCAGCAGACTTCAGCACATGGCGCTCTCGAGTTACAAAGTAGTCGCGTCTGGGTTAGGTCGAGTTGGCCGTTTTTCGATTTGAATTCGATAATGTCTAATGTATTTTTTGGGCTAAATTCAATTGGTAAGTCTTAGGCTCCATAGGCCATGTGTCGCTGAAGCTACAAAGACTTATTTTTCTTCCTTTTGGAGTTATTATGATGACTGCTGGTGTATGTGTGTGCGTGCGTGTGTGTGTGTGTGTGTGTGTTTGTGTAAAATCTTATATTCGAGTCACGATTTAGCATTTTTCATCAGCGCTGCGATTTTCATGTCACGTTCGCTGACAAAGTTTTCAAGCCCCCAACCTTTTCCTGTACCAAGGCGCGAACTTTTGCATCGCGTCTTTTGCGGCCATATAGGCAAGTATATAACATATATACACACACTCACACACACACACACACATACAACTGTATGTACTTACTTTGTATCCATATATTGGAGTGTAAGTTTTTATGTATTTTGGGTTTGTTTGCTCTTCGACAAAAGTTTGTCTGTTCCGCCTGATGTTTAATTGTTATTTTGTGTGTCTCTTGCCGAGCAACTTAAGTACGTCTGATCTCATTTTGAAGTTGTTCCAAAGTTGTTAGTTTGCTGCCGGCTGTCGGCATAACTACAAATTGTCAAGCTGGGAGCACTTTGAGGCTTTCTTAACTTAAAGCTCCGATTTTGGCACGTTAGATAAAGCCATCGAGCCTTATTCGTAATGATGTCGCTGCATGGAGCCTCCTTAATTATCTACAAAGTTAAGCTATTTTAGTATTATAGCTCACTTTAAGTCATACTTACTTATATTTACTGCTTAATGTGAATGGTAAATTCAGCCTCTGAGTAAAACGAGGCATAAAACTATGATATTTTTTTGTTAATATATCTAATGTAACTTAAGCCAAATCGTTTTATTATTATTAAATTTGTCGTAATGCTGGTTCATTAAAAAAGATTTGCAGCAACTTCTATTCACAATTTCTTTACCATTTGGCGCTTGCGTAAAACTGCAAAAAAAAATTTAAATAAATACAACTTTGCTGCTGCCACTCGGGTGATGTGAAACTCTTGAAGTAGTTTTGTTTTGTTATGCCACTTTATTAATTTAAAAATAAAATGGCGCAACCATTAACAATGCACCAACATCAAAAGCAACTGCACACAAACACAACTCCAGCCAAGCCGCAATAAACAAGGAAAACAAAAAAAAAAAACAAAAAAATTAAAAATGAAAATGAAATGCAGCCGGGCAAATATATATACTGTAAAAAAAAATTAAGAAATGTTCACTTAGACAGTGTTGAGTACATGTTCTACATATACAAATGTATGTAACTAGAATGGGATCGTGTACGCACACTTTTGTAGTGCAGTGTAAAAAGCACACACAGAGAGAGAGAGAGAGAGAGATAGGGAGGTAGCGAACACAATCTTCTTATTCTGCTGCTGCTGCTGCTGCTGCTTGCTGCTTGCTGTTGTTGTTTTTGTTCTTCTTCTTCTTGTTCTTTGCACGCTCCGCAGTCATTTGGAGCATATGTTTCGAACATTTTTCATAATCAAAAAGCTTTTAGCGGCGGACAGTAGCAATGATGGCCACGACAACGATACGACTGTCCCGCCCCCAACAGCCCCCTCCACCCCCTCCACCCATCACCTCTCCGCTTTACAAAAGCTACAAGCTGACTAACTTATTGTAGCCAAGTGGGGCTTATAGTCCGTTTCATTTTCGAGTGCAGCAACGTGTAAAATCGGAATAATGCACCAGTTTTCGAACGCTGCCCAGTGTGTCCAACAGCATTCAGCTCGTCCGCAGTGTTTGCAACCGATTTGTGGCTTGACAAAAAGAAAGAAACTTGACAAAACAGCTGCAACAGCAACAACAGCAAACAACAACAAGTAGCAGCGTCCCAAGTGTTTGGTTAGCCAAACTTTGAGTTATCCTTTTTGTATAATTATCATGACATACTTATTTTCTTTTATTGTTCACACTTTGAAAAGTTCAACATTCAAAATGAAGAGTGTAACCAAATTTATGCTGAGCTTCGCATATTTGTAGATACGTCCTTTTAATTATAATATATATTTTATTTTGAAAAAGTAAAATGAAATGCATTTGCGGCTGATTTACTTGCTGTTAGTTCGCCTTTCATTCATTTAATTCAACATATGCAAAACAAAATGAAATTGCCTAAATTATCTTAATACTTTATCTATGTGCATTTGGTGCATTTATTTTCCAAAATATAAGTGTATTTTGGCTCACTATAAATCAAATTCGTATAGCTAACAAACTATCTACAATGTCTCATTAGTTGGTTAGCTATATACAAATTAGATTTATACTGAACCGATAAACACTTCATATGCTTGCGACTTCTACAGGGTATTATAAAAGGCATTTGCAACGACAAACCGCATTTGTCATGCCAATTGATTGCAGACAGCCATGAAAGCTGCAACAACAGCAACAACAAGAACAACAACAACGGCTGTAAAGCCCAAAATAACAAATTCAATTTGGCTATCAACACCAAAAACACGTCAAACAATCGTTTTCAATTTTCATAGGAATAAACATGTGGCCAAACATTTATAACAAATCGCAAATTCAATTCAACGATTAGGCTTTGTTGTTGGCTTAGCATGCTAAAAAATACTTATTTGCAATAGTAATTTTAAATTGCTTATAGTCGACAGTTTTGTTGCCTACATTATTGTGTGTCATTTGCATTAAGCAAACAACAAAACCAACAACATATAATTGATGTTGGCTTTTACAATGCGCATTACGCATTTTATTACATTTCCGTATGCTTTTAATTGCCTTTCATTAATTTTTACGCAATGCCGGTCATCACATGCAAATAAATTGCGCATACGCATTGTGGCCAGCTGCAGCAGCAACTGCATACAGAATACAGGAACAGCAAAAGCATTAATAGCGGCTTGCTCATAAACAATAAAGTGCAGACGTGTCAACAGAAGTTAAAGCCTTATCTGAGCTGAATCTTGAACTGAAGATATTTGCGAATAATGCACGATTGAGTCCTTAACTGAAGCAGCTGAGTTTGGTAAGCTTTCAGAGCTGATCACGATTAAATCCCATTTCGAATGCAATTAATGCAATTAAAAGACACATGTACAATTTATATATTCCCAATCAACATTTAAAACAGATTAGAGCCAGAACTAGACTCAGATTATTTGGCTTGGGCTCAGGCTTACTTGTGTTCCAGAACTCGATTCGCAGATTTGACTGAAAAAGAAAGATACAAATATATACAAATAATTATTTTAAAAATAACTTCAAATATTAAACAGTACCGCACTTTAGTTATTCTTCCTAAAACAGCTCAATTTCCAATTTTTTCCGCGTATATATCAGTCACGAACCCCTTTTTGTAAATAAATCCTGCGAATGCCTTTGCAGCCTTCTCTTCGTCACCCATTTTGTAAAAGAATGCAAAATAGATAATAGCTGTCAAGATGAAGAGGACTCCGATTGCGCAGCAGAGCAGCAGCAATGTCATTTTAAGGCCCCATTTAAGGCAGCTTAAAAAATGATTCGTATTATTTAGTATTCTTGTCCAAATGCAGATAACTAGAAACTTACCAGCACATAGCACTGCAAATGCAACCTGCACACATCTTTGAACAATTGAAAACAAATGTTGGAATAATTTTGTTAATTGTGATTAAAACTATGAGTCAACTACGATTGATAGTCTTTGTGGACTTCAATATTAGAGGCATGGTGACTGTCGAAAAACAAAAAAACAAAAAAACAAATGAAATAAAATACAATGAAATTGTGAGAATTATACCCAAGTAGCATATTATGGCTATCAGGCAAATTATATTTTATTTGGTTGTGGGAAATTTTTTATTGCAGCTCCGGTAAATTCATAAATTCGATTAGCTTAAGCCACCAGCGCATTCAATTGTTGTTAAGAACCTGCAAAGTCAACTGTAAAAACGAAATTTAAAAAATAAAAATAAAATAAAACTGAAGAAACAGAAACAAAAAAAACTCCAGCCGCATAATCGAAATGTGTTTTGCCTTTTTATTGCGCCAGCCGAGCCAAGGTAATTCTTGAATTTCGAGGGTGTATGTGTGTGTGTGTGTGTGTGTGTATGTAAAAAGGGGCAGGAGGGGCAATAACAACTTTTCAACGCCTTATGGTCCATTTAGGTAAAAGTGCCATTTGCGTCGTGGGCTTAACAAGAAATTATGACCTCTGGGCCCAGCCACACGAAAGTACATAAAAATGTGGCAGGCCACCGAAAAAATGCCAACCGATTAGGCCAAAGACAAAAAGCCAAGAGCAGCAGAGGCAAGGAAGCAGCAACGATAGAGGCTGGAGCTGGAGCTACTTCTGTACACTCGCTCATCGTTTGGCAAGTGTAAATTACCAGTTATATTTATCGCTTACAGAGACAAAGTTTCCAATTGAAATGCAATAAATGTTGTTTGAGTATTCAATATACCAAAGTATATATTTTTTACTTTAACAATTTGAGGAGCTTTGTGTATCTATCTATATAGAAATCTCATGTTTTTTCTATTCCAGTCAAGTAGTCCATGTCACTAAAAAATTAAAAGAAAATTCAAATTTGAAATGTTGATAACATTGAGAGATAAGCAACACCAGCAACTACAATTGAACGATGGTCCATCCACAAACGAAGCTATTTGTGTGTGCCATGGTGACTCTAGTGATTATTGACAATCTGTTTCTACATGCTTACGAAATTATAAGGAGATCGAATGCGAAAAAGTCTGGTGTCGACAAATGAGATACTTTTTACATCAATAACTGTCCAACTGGAGAAAATTTCTAATTTTGTGAACATTTTGTTGAAAAACAAGTGTTGCTTCAAATATTAATAAAAATCTTGAATTTGTGCTGTACCCAACATTGTTCTGTGTAAGTATTGCTGGAATTTTGTTGGATCTACAAATAGTTTATGGGTGCACTCATATACTTTGAATAATGTGAAAAATATTTAAATTTCGAATTAAATATTGAATCGGTAGTTAAATTTCTTGTACTAGAGACATAGTTAAGGTCTCATCAAGACTATCTGATGCCATTCTTAATGAAGACTTTAGCCAGCTTTACTTTTGCGCCCTTCCACTTGATGCAAACAATGCGCCAAAGTTATGATGGGGGCCAAGTGTTGAGGGAGTTTCGGAGCAAGCTGTTGAGTAGAAATCTGTGCCTGATGGCTTTTCAAGGCTCAATGAATGCCTCTGCCCCTACCCCTGCCACTGTCCCTGTGTGCCCTTACCTCTAACTATACCCACTACTTTCGTGGCGTAACATTTCAATGAAATTTCCATGAGGAAACCATTTAATAGCTGCCGAAATGCGGAACGAAAGGAAATCTGGTGAAAAAAAACCGCAATGTCAGTGGTGCTCCACGCTGCCGGCGCCCGATTGTTGTGTGGGCCAAAACTGATGCTAGTAGTTAACGGTACTTTGTATGCAAAGTGCAAAAAACGGAAGTACGGAAGTGCCACATAGCGTCGAATAGTCAAAGCAACTAGCCCAGGCTACGTGAACGAGGATGAAACAAGTGAATGAGAAAGCCGAAAATGAAAATGTAGCCAGATGAAGAAGAGGAGGAGGCAATGGTACATGAGGTGGACGGGGAAAATGGAGGTTAGCAGGCCGCAAAGCGCTCAGCAGCTTGTGTTTGATTATTTTTAGCGCCGGAGTGGCTGCTTCTAGCTGTTTCTAGCTGATTCTGGTGCACTTTATTCTGCAGATTGTAAGCGTTTATATCCAAAGTAGTGGCAGCAGACTTAGAGCACCAGCAGCTGGGATGGTGGTGGGAGCAGGAGTAACACACTGACAGCTGACTGAAATGTCGAAAGGAACTTCAAATCGCTTCGCTGAAGCGTTTGGCACTTTGGGTTTATCCTCTCCTCCCTCGCTCCTTTCGTATCTATGCATCTGCGTAACTACGTATCTATGGTGTGATTAAGAACGTTTCGTTGTATTTAAGTGTTGGTCGTAAGCTCTTTGTTACTCCTTGCGCTTCATTGAACGTCGATTGGCTGAAGCTGTGTGATAGTAAGGCACTGTGTGGCCAGCTTTGTGGATCGGAGATACTTTTAGCATATCATTACCGCAGCTGCGGCTGACAGCGGCTTCTTCATGGCCGGCTTTAGTTTGCAACTTATCGATAAGCACTTAGTTTTCCAACAAAAGCTGACCGTAATTTATACGAATATAATCTCGTTATTTGCACAATATTCAATTATTTTCCATTAAATATTCGAAATCAAAATAATCGGAATAATTTATATCTACGAGTTTTTCAACTCCATTGTATTGTGTATTATTTATGGCACTTTAATTTAGTTATTAATTATTAAAATAAAAAAATCGTCGGCAATTAATTTCAACTAAATATTTTAAGCTGAAATACGTTGGGTATTTTTTGTTGTAAATAATGCCAATTTAGTTCAAAAAAGTGCCCCATATTTAAAAGAAGAGAACTAAAACGAAAATAAATTGGTCAATTAGAAATGCGTAACTCTCAAATTATATAGTTCCTGAAACTGAACCCTTCTCAAGTCCTTGACTATTCCAGTTGACCTCACGCACATATCCAGATCGCTGTGAGACTGTGACTGCAAAGGTGGATCTGTTGTCTGTCGTAGGGGATGCGCTCTGTAGGCATGCAGACAGCATAATTTCATTAATGCCCTTTAATATGGTGTGCGCAACGGTTCAATGAATTTCATTTCGTTGGATTTTTGGGTTCGTTTTTATTTTTTCATTATGCCGATGGCTTCGTCTTCAACAGTATTACAGTTTCTTTTGTTTTTACTCACTTCCGCTGTATCTTTTTTTCTCTCATTTGTATTTTTTTTTTTTTTTTTTTTTTGATTGCCTTTTAGTACATTGAACATTTGGTATTTGCTATCTGCATGCTGTGGGTGTTGGGGTGTGGGTTGGGGTGGGGAGGTTGGTTGGGTGGGGTGGCTTGTATGCCATTACTTCGATTTGTTTCTTATTTAAATTTTGTATACGCTTCAAGCGACACTGAACCAGGGCGCGTAGTTTGCCGGCAGGGCTGCATTAAGTGCTTTTTGCGGGTGCAAAGGCGATTTAATGCGAGCCAAAAAAAAAAAAAAGAGAACAGTTGTGGCGGCATGGGAGGGGGTGGGGGGGGCACAAAATCGCTGTGGTTGCCAGCTGTAACGCGTTTAATTTATACGCTCGCCTTGGCAACACAACAAAATAAAGAATGGCAAAAAGAGAAGAAATAAAAATATATATTTATTCTGCAGCTGCTTCTGCACTTAGAGATATGTATATGTGTGTGTGTGTGTGTGTGTGTGTTTGGGGTAATAAAAAGCAGCCAGCGAGTGGCATTCAACACCTTTTTCTATTTTGGCCAAAAAGCTTAATAAACAAACGGCCAAATGGGGTGCGGATGCGAATGCGAATGCGACTGCTGTTGGTGCGGTGGCAATTGGCAGTGACTCTGGGCCCAAACCAACGCATAAACATTTAAGTCCACAATTTGCACAGCACGTAAGAGGGCCAGAATACACACACACACACACAGACACACAGACACACACACACACACACACACATACATATTCACACATACTCAAGTACAAATGGTAGCCAAATGCAATTTTCACGTGCAACCGCAACGCAATTTATGCCACACCAGTAACTACAGCTATAGCTACAGATACAGCTACATCCACAGCAACAACAGCTGCTGCTAGAACTGCTACCAGTGCTACTGCTGCTGCTGCCCCATTCACGCCCGCATCCACATGCCACCGACAATGGTTGACAACGTCCGCCCGCAGCCGCATCTGCTGCACCTTTCACCAGCATCGCATATGAATCGAAGTCGGAGCGCCGTCGTCGCTGCTTCATGCGTGCCGGCTACGATGTGGCAACATAAACACAACCCCAACAACAACAACAACAACAACAAGAACAATAACAACAACGACTGAAATAACAACTACAAGAAATACCAACATTACAACAGCCTGAAATGCATAATACCCCATGGACAATTTGAACCGTAAGCGAAACTTTTAACCAGCAACTGCTGCATTTTGGCCAACAACTTTCAACTCACTCATTTATTATATAATCGATAATAGAATTAAACTAAAAACTAAACTGCAATTTCGTGTGTAATATTTATGAGCTTCTATGACTCGGTATTACTTAAACTATCTTATAAAACTTTAAAGTTGTACAAACATACAACAATAAATTTTTTATTTATTTTTTATTAACTAATCAGCAAATAACTGATAAATAATAATGATTATTTATGACTTTTATTATTTATTATTATTATTATCCAAAGCTATTCTCCACAACAATTTCAATAAAGCTGTCCACAAAATGGCGACCTTAAATTGGCCATTGGTCCTGCGAATAAATAGCTTCCAGCATAGGTCATGATTCCTTTTGTTGTACCCTTTTTAGTGGCGCATATGTGCGTGTGTGTGTGTGTGGAGCATTGTTATGCAGCGCTATCACCTGGCGCTGCATTTGCTCAGTAGCCAGCTTATTTATTGCAGTTGAATTAAAATGAAAAACGTTTGTGCTGGTCGAAGCTGGGCTCAGTTCATGTTCATTTCTGACTTACCCATGGCCCGGCATGCCCCTTTACAGCAATGGACTGCTGCTGGAGGGAGGCAGAGGAGGAGGGGGAGCCGATGACCACGGCTGGACGCACA